GGAAAAGCATATACTTTCATTTAATAATATGTTCTCTTTTAAACAAAATGAGGACTCCTGGGGACAGTATTCAGTGAAATAAATTTAAAAGCATTAGGTTCAACTTTATATTCTACTCCCCAAATTAAGTATTTAAATTATTTTTATTAAATATTAGTATATTACTCAGGGTTCTACAGAGAAACAGAACAGAGAGAGAGAGAGAGAGAGAGAGAGAGAGAGAGAGAGAGAGAAAAGGAGATTTATTATGGGAACTGGCTCATGTGAATATGCAGGTTGAGAAATCTCACAATATACTGTCTGCAAACTGGAGAACCAGGAAGGCCAGTAGAGTAATTTGGAGTTTGAAGATCTGAGAAAGGTCAGGACAGGGTTGTGGAACTTGTATAAGGCCTGGAGGCCAAAGGCCCGAGAAACCAAGAACTCAAATGTCTAAGAACAAGAGAAGATGAATGTCCCAGCTCAAGAAGAGACACAATTCATCCTTGCTCCACCTTTTTGTTCTTTTCAGGTGAGCCCTCAGTAGATTGAATGATGGCCACCCACACTGGGGAGGGCAGATCTTCCTTACTCAGTCTCCTGATTCAAATATTAATCTCTTCTGGAAACACTTTCACAGACATATTCAGAATAATGTTTAAGCAGCTATCTGGGCATCCCTTAATGTGGTCAAACTGACACATAAAATTAACCATCAGAACTTGCCACATTACATTTAATCTGGGCACATTTTCCACACCTATGGAAAATTCCCCACTTCATGGGAAACCTTCATGTACTTTTATTAATGGACTTGTTTTTGCTCTGGTTTTATGTATATTTGCATTGACATGTGGTAGATAAAAATGCATGTAGAATAAGTGAATACATTAATATCTTTAAGGTTTTTGGCAAGGAAGCCCCAAGATGTCTTAGCCATTCTTGTCCAGGTGTTACATTTCTGGACATAATGTTTCTTTTTACTTAGACAATAGACTTTTAAACAGGCATGGCAATCACTTCAGGAATTTAACTTGATTGTGGACCTTAAATGTGATTCAGAACATGGAGAAGATCCGAGAGAAATGAAACTAGGTTACGGTGCATCCTACAATGTTAAACTGACCATCTTAGAGACAATTTTGCCTTCTCAATAACTTTCTTGAATGCACTCTTCACTTCCTTGTTCCTCAGACTATAGACCAGGGGGTTCAGCATGGGGATGACCATTGTATAGAACACAGATGCCATTTTGTCTGTGTCCATGGAGTGACTGGAGCTGGGTTGTAAGTACATGAAGATAATAGTCCCATAGAAGATGGTGACTGCAATGAAGTGAGAGGCACAGGTGGACAAAGCCTTCTGGTATCCAGAAGCTGAGTGTATCTTTAGGATGGTGATAAAAATGGATATATAGGATATCAAGATAACCAGGAGAGCTAAAAAGATATTGAAGCTCACAACATAAACAAGAACAAGCTCGCTAACATGTCTATCAGAGCAAGAGAGAACCATGACTGCTGGAATATCACAGAAAAAGTGATGGACTTCATTGGACTTACAGAAAGAGAGACTAAATGTGTCCCCAATGTGGATGGAGGCATTCAGGAAACCACAGAGGTAGGAGCCTATGGTCAGACGAGCACATACACTTGTTGTCATGGTTGTGGTGTAATGCAGGGGTTTGCACACTGCCGCATAGCGGTCATAGGCCATTGAGGCCAAGAGGTAATTTTCCACAGTGGCAAAAGCTACAAAAATATACATTTGAGCAGCACATGCATTATAGGAGATGACCTTGTCTTCTGTAAGGAATCCAGCCATGACGATGGGAATGACAGCTGAAGAGTAGCAAAAGTCCACTAGAGACAAGTTACTGAGAAAAAAGTACATGGGATTGTGGAGACAGGAATCCCAGAATACCACTACAATAATTCCCAGGTTTCCAACCAGAGTGATAATATAGATGAAGAGGAACATTATAAAGAGGGGAACCTGCTGTTCTGAGTCATTGGTTAGTCCTAGAAGAATGAACTGTGTTACTTCTGTCTTATTTTCCATCATTGCTCTGGGGGACTCACAGGATGCTTGTAGCAATACAAAAAGGAACAATGTGATAAATAAATTGAATTAAAATTGAAAAGTATAAGTACAATATGTATTCCTTTATTGTAGCAATAACTTGTACTTCAAGATTTCCTAGAAAAAACGTGGCCTTGACAACCAAAGATAGTGCATTAATTATACAGAATTACATAATGTTGAAACTGAAGAATCTTAATAGATTATTTGCACAATTTTTAGATATTATAAATTTGTAAACTCATATGTAGAAAATTTACTAACCTGATCAAGATGACTCGTCTAGATGCATCTGTCTGTCAATTCACCTTTCCTGAGCACCGTAAAAGCTGACGCATATTGCTAATTTGCCAAGAACTTGTCTAGACATTTTAGATATATATTCATTATTTCCTTGCAACGATATTTTGTATTTGATTAGTTGTTGCATTCATTTAAATTATGAAGCACAGGAGGTTGAGTAACATATTCATATTTATACAAGTGCAAACCATGTATAAATGGTTTGGATCCATGCCAACTTTTGAACCCATGCTCAATGGTTCCTAAGTCTAATGGTCTAAACTGAATTTAAATCAAATTGAATACAACTCAATTTACAATCACTCATTGTCTCCTTTGGTACAAACTCAGTGTTTTGGGTTTCACAATGAAGTAAGCGAGTAATATAGTGAAAGTGAAAGTGGTGGGATAACTGGGTTATTAGGGGCATGTTCAACTAGCAGAAAACATTCTGAGAGAAGCCTATAATCAGATACGGCAGGTACAGAGCTTGAGTTCTTGGAAGAGAGGCATGTCAGTCCACCACTTACCACCTGGGGACCACTGGTTCTAATCTAATTCCCTTAAACATCACATTTTCTTCTGTAAAACTAAAACAGTAATGTGACCTACTTTGAGGTAGTATTGTGAGAATTAAATAAGATAATCCATTAAAAATGCTAGATGTTAAGCACAGCCTAATGAGTGCTAGTTATAATATTAAATACTATTAGGATGGGTGATAATCTTTGTGTTAGTTTTATAAAAGTGGATGGTGACAAGCAGGACTGCAGGCATGGGTGAGTTTTGAAATATTGAAGCTCCCATCTCCAATTTTCTTTTCCTCCATACTAGGACCACTGAGATTTTCTGTGTTTCTTTCAGGTTGTTCTTCCTTCAAGCAAATGATTGTCTGTTCCGGAAAATTCACGTGAGCCTCTCTTTTTCTTAATTTCTCCCTTGAAATCCACATTTTAGTGTGGGTAAAAAAGTTTCTTTTTCCTAAAGCCATTCTTTCTCTTATTACTGTTATTCCATAGTTAAAGATTAAGGGTTAAAATTTCCTACTTTATGGGCTATCTTTATTTAACTCACAGATCTGATTTGGTGGCAAGTTCCATGTGATAAAATATTTTTTTAAATCTATTCTTGATTAGGAACAATATTTTATTATTTATTTATTTGTGTTGTTTTTAAATTTCAATGCTCATTTTAGATACAAGGGTTACATGTACAGATTTGTTACGTGGGAATATTGCATAATGCTGAGGTTTGGAGTATGGATCCTGTCACCCTGGTGGTGAGCATACCATCTGATAGGTAGTTCTTAAGCCCACCCTCTCTTTCTCTATTAGTCCACAGTGTCTATTGTTCCCATATTTAGGTCCATGTGTTCTCATCATTTAGCCCTCACTTATTAGTGAGGACGTGAGGTATTGGTTTTCTGTTATTGTGTTACTTTGCTTAAGATTATGGCCTCCAGATTCATCCACATTGCTGCAAAGGATGTGATTTCATTTTTTATGGCTATGTAGTATTCCAAAAATCTGGTGTACAGATTTCTTCAAAAACTTAAAACAGAGCTACTATTTGACCCAGTATATACCCAAAAGGTAATAAGTCATTTACTAAAAAGACAAATACGTATGGTCAACCTAAATGCCCATCAATGATAGATTGGATAAAGAAATGTGGTACATGTACACCACAGAATATTACGCAGCCATAAAAAAGAACGAGATCATCTCCTTTGCAGGGATATAGATGGATCTGGAAGCCATTATCCTCAGCAAACTAGTGCAGAAACAGAAAATCAAATACTGCACGCTCTCACTTTTAAGTGGGAGCTGAATGATGAAAAGACATGGACACATGGTAGAGAACAACACACACTGGGGCCTATCAAAGGGTGGTGGGTAGGAGGAGGGAGAGCATCAGGAAGAAAAGCTAAGGGATACTGGGCTTAATACCTAGGTGATGGGATGATCTGTACAGCTAATCACCATGGCACATCTTTAGCTATGTAACAAACCTGTACATCCTGCATGTGTACCCCTGAACTTTAAAGTTGGACACTTTTTTAAAAAAGACACATGTACCTATAAGATCATCAGCACACTATTCACAACAACAAATGTATAAAATTAACCCTGGTGCCCATCAGTGGTAGATTGGATAAAGAAGTTGTGGTACGTATACACCATGGAATATTACACAGCCATGAAAATAAGAATGAAATCAGGAACAATACTTTAAATCTTTGTATTTGGATTGGGGTCTTTAGAAGAAGGGTATCCAACCAATACTAACTACTGTTTCCTACTGTCTTTCTCTGAAACACTTGGCAACTTCACTTCCCAAGCCTGGGGTATGAAGATGTTATGTTGCTAACTTTAACAAACATGACTGCTTTTAGCATACACTATGTTCTACCAATAATAAAAACTTTATATATAAATGATGTGTGTGTGTATGTGTGTGTGTGTGTGTGTGTGAGAGAGAGAGAGAGTTAAGTATTATTATTGTTATTATTACTTTATCATTAAGAACATTGAGAATTTGAGAAGTGATGTGATGCTCCAAAATTATATGGCTAGTTTGAGTCAAGATTCAAGAGTTAAATCCGTCTTCAATCTAAAGTCAAAACTTTCAGCCACATCAGTGTCAACATATGTAGATGTGCTAATAATAGTAAGAATGAGATTATTAAAAAAAATTAAAACACAGGTCATAGCTTGTTAATTCATTTAACACCCTTTCGTAGTTTAAAGAATGAACATTTCACTCTTTTTTGTTTGTTTTTGTTTTTTTACTGCTCATGAGAAGCCAATACATAACGAACAGATAAAATTATATCATCTATCTTATCTTTTGTTCATATCTTTGGAGGAAGAAGCATGTTTCATAAGAACCACTAAATTTCCTATAATGGAACATTTATGCCCTACGCCCACCTCAGTATTTTAGAAAAAAATGTTGAAAACACCTATTTCTGCCCTCAAATAACTTATAGTAGGTGTAGCTGCCCCACTGCTTTTGCATGAGTTACACTTCTCTCTAAAATGTTTCTTAGATATAGAAACTTACCTTACAGCTGGATGAGCAGAAACAGTCAATACAGAATAGTTTGTCTGTAATCAGAAAATCAGCCATGGAATATTGCACTAATATGTTTGGAGAAGTTTGCTTTCAGGTACTGGTCAACAGGTTTCAAGGTCTCCAGGCATGGAAAAATAAAGGGAAGAGCATTAAGATGGAACAAGTCCTGAATCTCCTATTAATTCTTTCTGGGAACTTAAAGGAGTTACTTATCTTCCCCTTTCTCGAGAAAATAAACATGTTAAGATTACCTCTCTCACATAATTCACAGAATTGCATCTGTAAATAACAAGTAAGTGAGGGCTATAAAACATCTTGCTAAGGGATCATCGTGTGAAAGTCAGTCAATGTAATTTTTAACTTGGGATGTTTTCCCTGAGCAGGGTTGAAGGTTCATAGCAAAGCCTCAGGTCAGAAGGCATGCATGAACTAAAAACAATTATCCTTTAGATGAATAAATGATGATCCGTGGAGGTTTGTACACAGTGTGGTCTCTCTAAAACTACATCATGTTGGGAGTCATGTTGGGATTTCATATGCTAATATATGGAGATACGAGGAGAATTATAAGGGCATGGAGATCTCTGGAGATGTTCCCTGTGAGAGGATGTACAGCTCCTCATTCTACTTTCCTGGTGAAGAAGCAATTAAAGCTGCCAGTGGGGATCAAGCTTATTATTTTTAATATACGCACATAATTTGTGTGCATATTAAATTTGTTATTTCTTTTTTCATTCTCTAATGAATGCATAATTTACATACAGTAATACCCAGTATTAATACACACTGTACTGTATAGTTCTAAGAATTTTGTCAAATATATGGTCACATAATGACTACAACAATTACATTAAAAACATTTTCTAAGCCTACTTTTTGGTAACCTCTTTTCCCACCCACTATCCTGGCAACAAGTAAATTGTTTTTGTCCAAATATTTTTGCTTTTGCTAGAATGTCTTTAAATATAATCCTAGAATATGTAGTCTTTGAGTCTGGCATCTTTCACTTTCACTTAGCAATTGAAACCCATATATATTGTTGCCTATGTCAGCGTTAAATCTTTTTTATTGTAGAAGAATATTGCATTATGTGGACATTATAGATTGTTTTTCTCATTGTGCAACTGAGGAACATTTGTACTGGTTTTAGAGTTTGGTGAGTAGAAATAAAGCTGATCTAAGCATTTCATTAAAGATTTCTGGGCGAGGCACTGTAGCTCATGCCTGTAATCCTAGCACTTTGGGAGGCTGAGGTGAGTGGATCACTTGAGGTAAGAAGTTTAAGACCAGCCTGGTCAACATGGTGAAGCTCAGTCTCTACTAAAAATAAAAAAATTAGCCAGGCATGGTGGTAGGCACCTGTAATCCCAGCTCCTCAGGAGGCTGAGGCAGGAGAATTGCTTGAACCTGGGAGGCAGAGGTGGAGGCTTCAGCGAGCCAAGATTGTGCCTCTGTATGACAGCCTGGGTGACAGAGTGAGAGTCTGTCTCAAAAAAAGAAAAGATTTCTGAGGTGAACATAGATTTTCATTTCATTTGAGTAAATATTGATGAGTCAGACTGAATTGTTGTATGGTAGGCATATGTTTATTTGAATAAGAAACTGTCAACATCTTTTCTGAAGATACTCTATTATTTTGAATTCCCACTAGCAGTCCATTCAAATTGTCTCACCTCTGTATCGGCATTTTATATTTAAAAATTTTGTAATTTAATTTTTTTTTACTTCTTTTTGTTTTTCTCTAAGACATCTCCTTAAGAATTTTCTTAACACTTACCTACCTTATCACCACAGTTCTGGCCTAGGGATGCTTTTCTTTTCCAACAAAGGAGACAGATTCATCCTTTTGCACGGATTCATTGTTTGCACTGTTGCTTCCGAGCCCACACTACACTCCCAAGCAGACTTATCACATCTTTCTTAGTACAAGCAAGTGTCATGGTTTAACATTTGTTCTGTGTACCATGGTTGCTTCACCTCAAATTTGAGTAAGAAATGTAGCCTTTCCAATTTCAGCTTCCTCTGTAAGGAAGAAGAAAATATTATCTTGTCATTCACGTAAGATTTTCAAAAAGATAATCACATGACATATTTAAAGAGCACAGCACACTTTCTAACACATATCAGGTGTTCAATAGGTTAAATATTAATATTTATTATTTATAATATTTTCCATAGATAGGTCACAAAAATAGTGGCACACAAACAATCCACCTGCTTTTCTACATGTGTATGCCCCATTCCAGCTAGGCAGGACATGTAATAGTCCTAGATAATGAACTATAGAAAAAATTGTAATGTTGCTTGAAACATACATACTACTCTCCAGTTATCTTATCTCCTGCTATGATAATCAAAAGGCTTAATGTTCCAGCAGGTGCAGAAACAGATAATGATACCTTCATCAGCAGGTGTCTTTGAGTGACCACATACAGCTTTTCACTTAGCCAGACAACCTGTGTGACAGAAATGTAGTAGCATAAGTAAGAAATAAATCTGTAGGATGCTGAATATTTATCTTCCAAAATATCAGATTCTAATACCTGGAATTGATAAATTATACCTTATACGACAATTGCTTTGCAGTTATGATCAAATTAAGGATAGTGAGATGGAGATTAATCTAAATTATTCAGTGGGCTGTAAATGCAGTTACCAGTTTCTTCTAAGATGGGGGCAGGAAAAATGACAGATTAGAATATTTTAAGGGCCTATTACTCCACAGAAACACAAAAAAGCAAGCAAAAGCTGGCACAATCAACTTTGTCTGAACTCTGGAAAATAGTCAAGGATCTACAGAAACAAAGAGAATGATGATTCAAGAAAAAGGTGACCTCACATGACATTTTTAGGAAGTATCTGTTAAACTGCTATGTGACCACAAGTAAAGAAACAAAGACATCAGAGGCCACATATGACAATAAATACATTCTTTCAAATATTTTAATAAAACTCACTAAATAAACAACTGCACTCAGAGCAAGCAAAAACAAACGAAACTGGGGGTAGGAGGGGAGATAATTTGACTTCCAGAACTACCATATTATAATATTAAAAGTGTCAAACTTTCAACCAAAAATGAGAGACATATGAAGGATCAAGAAACCATTTCCAATTTATAAGAAAACTGAAATTGTCCTGAGGAAGCATAAGCTTTATACCTAGAAGACAAAAATCTTAAATCAATTGCCTTAAATGGGCTCAAAGGGATTAAGGGGAAAAATTGACAAGGAACTAAAGAAAACTAGGACAACAGTGTTTCAATACATAGTAAATATCAATTAAAAATACAAATTACTTGTAAAAAATCAGAATTTCTGGAGCTGAAAATTACAATGAGTGAAATAAAAATTCACCAGAGGGTTTTAACAATATTTGACAAAAGAAGAAAACAAATCAGTGGATTTCTTTCCTTCCTTCCTCCCTCCCTCCCTCTCCCCCTCCTTCCCTCCCTCCCTCTGTCCTTTCTTCCCTTCCTTCCTTCCTTCTTTCCTTCCTTCCTTCCTTCCTTCCTTCTTTCTTTCTGAGACAAAGTCTTACTCTGTCACCCATGCTGTAGTACAGTGGTATAATCATGGCTCACTACAGTCTCCACCTCTTGGCTCTAAATGATCCTCCTGCCTCAGCCTCCCAAGTAGCTGGGGCCACAGGCATGCACCAATACACCTGGATACATTTTCTTTTTTTGTTTTGTTTTTGTTTTTGTTTTTGAGTCAAGATTTTGTCATGTTGTCCAGGCTGGTTTCAAACTTCTGAGCTCAAGTGATCCATCTGCCTCAGACTCCCAAAGTACTGGTATTATAGACGTGAGTCACCATGTCTGGCCAAATCAGTGAATTTCTAGACATGTCAATTAAAGCAATCTGGTCTCAGGAGAAGAAAGGAAAACAGAATGAAGACAAAATGGAAGGAGCTTGAGACCTCTTGCATGCTGTCAAGTATACCAACATGAGCACAAATAGAGTGCAAGAATGAGAGGTCCAATAAGGAAAAGTTAGTAAGAAATATTTGAAGAACTATGGCCACTAACTTCCCAAACTTCCCAAACTTGATTAACTTCCTATATAGATGAAAGTTTACAGAGGTGTTTGGGTCATGAGAGCTGAGCTCTCATAAATAGGTAGATCCCTTCATAAGCTAATAGATTAATGAATTCATGGGTTAATGTATTAATTAGTTTTCATGGGACTTGGACTTGTGGCTTTATAAAAAGAGGAGATCTGAGCTAGCATGCTCAGTCCTCTCACCATATGACGCCCTGTGCTGCTATGAGACTTGGCAGGGAGTACCTACCAGCAAGAAGGCCCTCACCAGATGTGGCCCCTCAACCTTGGACTACTTATTCTCTAAAACTGTGAGAAATAAATTTCTTTTTAAAAATAAACTATCTAGTTTTAGGCATCCTGTTATAAGCAACATTAAATGAACCAAGGCAATTAATGATGTTGAACAACTTTTCATACCCTTGTTGACCTTTTGTATGCCTTCTTTGGAAAAATAGCTATTCAAAACTTTTACCTATTTTTAAATAGAATTAATTTTTACTATTGATTTGTAGGAATTCCTTATAATTTTATTTTTTCAGATGGGGGTCTCACTCTGTTACCTGGCTGAAGTGCAGTGGCACAATCATGGCTCACTGCAGTCTCAGCATCCTGGCTTCAAATGGTCCTTCCACCTCAGCCTCCTGAGTAGCTGGGACTATAGGCATGCACCACCATACCTGGCTAATTTTTAAAACTTTTTGTAGAAATGATGTCTCACCATATTGCTCAGGCTGGCCTCAAACTCCTGGCCTCAAGCCACCCTTCTGCTTTGGTCTCACAAATGTGAGCTACCATGCCCAGCCCTCTGTATACACTTTAAATAGTAACACTTATCAAATGTAACATTGGTAAATATTGTCTCCTATTCTGTAAGTTGCCTTTCTATGTTTTTGATGGTTTCCATCACTATGCAAAAACAGTTTGTTGTAGTTCCACTTATTTTAGCTTTTGTTGCCTGTGCATTTGGTGTCATATTCAAGATATCATAGCCAAGGTTAATGACAAAAAGTTTATTCCTTAGTTTTTTTTCCTAGGGGTTTCAAGATTCAAGTGTATGTTTAATTTTGCATCTATTTGGATTTATTTTTGTGTATGGTATAAGATAAAGATTCATTTGAGTAAAATATTTTGCAAAGATCCTACTTTTGCATGTAGATATGCAGATTTCCAAATACTATTTCTTGAAGAGACTTTCCTTTTCTCATTATGTATCCCGGGCTCCCTTGTCTTCCATATGTCTATCTTTATAGAAATATAATACTGTTTTCTTTACTGTAGTCGTTGTAATATATTCTGAAATCAGAACTGTAATGTCTCCAGCTTTTTTCTTCTTTATTGGGATTGTCTTGGCTATTTAGAGTCTTTTGTGGTTTCGTATTAATTTTAAGACTATTTTTCCATTTCTGTAAAAAGATGCCATTGGAAATTTCAAGGCAGTTGCATTGAATCTGTAGTTTGCATTTCGTAGTATGAGCATTTTAACATCATTAATTCTTCCAATTCATGAACACAGATATCTTCCAATTTATTTGAGTCTTCTTCAATTTCTTTCACCATTTCTTGTTATGCTTTAAGTGTATGTCTTTCACCTTCTTGGTTAACTTTATTTCTAAGTATTTCATCATTTTTCATGTTGTAAATAGGATTTTTTAAACTTTTTTTCAGGTAGATTATTGTTAGTGTATAGATATGCAGCTGATTTTTGTGTGTTGATATTGTATCCTGCAGCTGTACTAAATTCATTAGTTCTAACAGGTGTTTCCTAGTAGTTTTTAAGATTTTCTGCATATAATATGACATCTTTCATGAACAGAGACAGTTTTACCTATTTCAGTGTCTTTTATTTCTTTCTCTTACCTTATCATTCTGGCTAGGACTTTCAGTACTATGGCCAATAGGAGTGGTATGAGTGGGCATCCTTGTCTTGTTTCTGATCTTAAAGGAAAATCTTTCAATTTTTAACCTTTGAGTATGATACTAGCTGTGGGCTTTTTATATAGGCTTTATTATGTTAGAGTACATTTCTTCTATATCTAGCCTGGTTAGAGTTTTTATTATTGAAGGGTGTTAAATTTCATTGAATACTTTTCTGCAACTATTCAGATGATCTTGTGCTATTTATCATTCATTCTGTTAATGTTGTATTTCATATTAATTGATTTAAACCATGCTTTCACCCCAGAGGTAAATTCCACCTGATCATAGTGTATGATTCTTTTATTGTGCTATTGTGTTAGATTTACTAGTATTTTGTTGAGGAATTATTACCTACAGTCATCAGAAATATTGTCTGTAGTTTCCATTTCTTGTGGTACGTTTTCCTTGTTTTGAATATGAGAATAATGCTAGCCACATAAAATTAGTTTAAAAGTGTTCTTTTTTCTTCAGTTATTTGGAAGAGTGTGATAATAATTGACCTTTCCTCTTTTTAAAAATGTGTGGTAAATTTCACCAGAGAAGTTATCTGGTTCTGGGATTTAATTTGGGGGAGGTTTTTGATTACTGATTCAATCTCTTTACTCATTATTGGTCTGTCCAGACTTCGTATTTTTTTGTGATTCGGTCTTGGTATGTTTTATGAATCTAGGAATTTATTCATTTCTTCCTGGTTATCCAGTCTTGGTAAAAAATTGTTAATAGCAGTCTTTTATAATCCTTTTTACTTTGGTGGCATCAGTTATAATTTCACATCTTTCATTTTTAAAAAAATTGAATCAAAATTTCTCTTTTTTGCTTTAAGTCTAGCTAAGCATTTGTCAATTTTATCTTTTCAAAAAACTAACTCTTACTTTCACTGATTTTTCTATTAGTTTTCTATTTTTTAGTTTTTTTCTGCTCTCATATTTATTTTTTCATTCCTTCTAATTGTTAGTTTAATTTGTTCTATTTCTTTGAAGTGTACATTTAGATTGTTTATTTGAGATCTTTCTTCTTTAATGTAGCCATTTACTGTTATAAACTTCATTCTTAGTACTGTTTTTGCTACATCCCATCAGCTTTGGTATGTTGTGTTTTTGTTTTCATTTGTCTCAAGATATATTCTTTTTTAATATTTTATTTTATTTTTAATTAAAAACAATAATTATATACATTTAAGGGGTAAAGAGTATTTCAATATATGTGTATGCTGTGGAATAATCAAATCAGAATAATCAGCAAACCAATAAAATCAGAGATGAAAAAGAAGATATTACAACTGATACTAAAGAAATGCAAAGGATGATAAGAAACTGCTGTAGACGATTATATCCCAACAAATTGGAAAACCTAGAATAAACAGATAAATTCCTGGACATATAAAACCTATTAAGATTGAATTTAATAAACAGAATATCTGAACAGACCAACAATGACTATTTGAAACTGAATCAGTAATAAAGTATTTAATCGAAGAAAAGTGCCGGACCTCATG